ACACAATTAACTGATATCAGAAGACAGACTTACCCAGCAACACAACCTATGATTTTAGTTAAGAATTCTAAATATGAATTCAAGTCTTAAACATAGTGTTTTCAGTGATGCTAGTTATTTCAAGGCTGTATTAATACTACTGAAGGACTTCACTTAAGGACAATTTTGTAATCTATAGCTGTGAGAATGTGTTGAATTGTAACTGAATTAACTTCAGCGTTGTGCGCTGCCCCATTCAAACACATTAAGTTGAAACCCAAGGAGTAAATTTTCAAAAGGTTTGCTTACCAAAAAAAAAATCTTCAAATATCAATGGCAAAAATCCCCCCAAACACCTATATATAATAAACAAGCTAGATGTTTTAGTTTATTCTGAGTAGCTTTTACACTAATGCTTCGCACCATGGCACAATTCTTGTTCCCAAAAGAAATGGAAGAGCAGCACACTTCTAAACATGTCAGATTAGCTTTTAAAAGGTCAAGAATCAGACCACAGTCTAAACCTCACTCTTTGTAAGAATGTCCTTTTTGGCCTGAAAACATCCAGAAGTATCAAGGAACTGAAGATATGACACACTAGGCAAGATTTTTTTTTTTTTTTTTTGAGTACTGGGAAACATTTGCGACCTATATAACAGTAGATTGCAGCTCATCTGAAAGTGGATTTGAAGCCTCTGCCAGCTGGTGAGCCTCAGCAAAACTGAGGTAAAAGAAAGTATGGTAAAACTGTATGGTAAAAGAAAGATACTTTGAGGCCACTTACTTTATTCCTGAATTCCCCAGCTATTGTAGCATAATACTGGAGCCTGTGTCCCAGTTCTTCTAACAGCTTCGGTCGTTCTTCTGCTTCTTGATAGCGCATTTCAATTGGAGTACCTAATTTCTAGAAAAAGCAATTCCTATGCGTTATGTGATTCATTAACATTGTTTTGCATGATACTTTGGGAATTTCACAATTCAGGCATACTAACAGACCTACCTTTAAATCCTCTAATTTGTCTACGTACACCTGCTTAGCTTCATCCTCACCCTCTTCATACAGCCAGCCTTCTGTCTCAGTGAGGAGTGCAGAGAATCCCTGCAGATCCTATGTATCAATATAATTCAACATGTCAAGCATCAAAATATGCACCAATTGACAGTGCGTGTCTCACAGTAACAGGACACTGGTAAATGTTAATTCTTGGCCTCCTACATAAATATTACATTTGTACTGCAGCTTTTGCCTAGTTAAGTCAATTAAACCACACCAGCTTCTAACTGGGAAACACACATATCTACAACATAGGTAGCATTTATAGCCTTTTGTTCTTGATTAGGCCAATGCTTGGGGTACAGCTTAATTTGTGGTTTTGGTTATAGAAGGGGAAGCTGTCTTGCTTTATCTAGTCACCAACTTTATTTGGAAACAAAACTTTATTCTATTTGTGACAAGATTTATTTTCAGCATTATGTACTCTTTGCTAAACCTGAGCCTATTCTGATCAGTCCCAGCCATCATTCAAGTAAGTTAGTTTTCAGTTATTTCCAGGATGGCTATGAGAAAGCTCAACCACAGAATAAAAAAAATAGATATTTGATATCAGTATTTTCAGAGAAGCTCCTGAAACCATAACCTACCTTTTCACAAACAAACTTTTCATATGGTCCAGACAACTTGTCCCTGAACTCATACACATATTCTTCCACAGCATTCTTTGCATCATTTCTTTCTTTTTCCAGTTTGTCTTGCATAATCATCTTACCCTGTATAATCACAAAAATATTTTAATTAAAAAATACCCATATTCAAACAGCATTCTACAAAGCACAGCTCCTGTGAAACACAGTAATCTCCCAGAGGCCTTGGCTCACATAACTGCTGGATTTCCCATTGCTACACAGTGGGCTCACCTAAAGAAATGGGGTCCACTCCTCTATATACAACAGCTTGAACCAATCTGTGATTTCATTCCATGGATCGGTGATTTGATACCATCACTATACACACACTTCAGTCTTTCTGATTAACATTCGTCAGTTATGTGTTCAAGTTGGACTGTACATTAGTTCACTGTAAATTATTTGCATCCACACTCCAGGGTTACAGTAAAAAATCAGATGTCTTAAAAAGCAGATGAATGGTTAATAACTGCAATTAAGAAAGCAATCTAAATCCCACTCACTCACCTCTGTTTCAATATACATATTGAGGAGATCTTTTCCTAACTGCCAAACCAAGTTAGCTTCAATAGGTAGTTCCACATTCTTCACTTTTATCTTGGGTTTTTTAGCTTCTGGGGGCTGATCACCTTTCTTCTCATTTGTCTGAGTTGGAGACAAGAAAAATAAGATAATTTTCCTGACTTCCTTCTGACGAAGTAGCACTATGATGATAGAAACATTCACAGGAAGAACATGCAGAGATTTTCTGTGTTCTCTCAGAATTTTCAAAATATACTTATGAGGCACCTTCCCTTTGGGGATTCCACCTCCTATCCTAGCCTGCTTACAGTCTATTTCATGGACAGTAAGTACTGAGCTACAGGAAGGACGTTTCTCAGATATATGGTATATCTGCAGGTTTTCCAGAAGTGCCCATCTGTAGCTTAGCACTTCACTGGTAATGCTGACAGTGGCAAGATTTTAACCCAAAACATCTTCATCTTTTACAGATGAAAGAGCAAATGACTAGCAATATCATGCAGGCATATGTTTTTCACATAGATAATTTCCACTTAGGTTTATGAATTCCTGATCCCAACTTCTCTCAGCAGGCCTAATAACGTTGGCCTCTAACAGCTGTTAAACAAATTGAAGTGTCTGCAACCCAAACAAATTAGCTGTACAACACTGCGTAAAGACAGGGAAGTGGTAGAGTGAGACCTTGCAGGAATTCTTTTTCAAACTCTGTATGAAAATCATTGATATACACACATTATTTTTCACAATAGAAAAGGTATAAAAACGAAAAAGGTTCCAAGGATGAAGTTCCTTACTTTTTCCTGGAGTGTGCTGCCCTTTTAAAAGTCCCCATTATATAGCATAACATTTTCAACAGAGTTAAAGGGTCACTCACTTTGACATCTGGGGTTTTGTTTTCTTCAGAGGGAGGTTCTGATGAAGGGGGAGACTGTGACGTTTGCTGACCATCAGTTTGTACCTGGGACTGTGTTCCAGCCTCACTGTTCTCTTGCTGGATATTTTTCTGAAATGAAAGCCCAGGCACAAAGGATGTAGAAGGCATGTGCACTTGTATTTAGTAAAAGTTATAGGGCACTTCACTTCTGACGCACATACTGTACAAAGTGCCCTAGGAAGCATTCTGTGCACACGCAGAAACACACACGCTTTAACTAACGGAGATACAGACCAGCTGCAAGTTCAGAAGGACTTAGTGAAAATGCTACCAGTGCCAGGCTTGCAGCATAATATTTGTGCGCGTGTGTGTGCATGCTACCACTTTCTCCTACAAAAAGTGGCTTTCAATTTATTGACTCATAGCTTTTAAGCTTTTTCCCCCCCTCAGAAAACTACTAAGACATCAAGTATACCATAACAATGCTGCATTATTCCCCAGTGTTCCCCTCTGCTTCAATGCTGTAGGAAACAATCCAGCTTTCCCTTCCACAAAAAGTTTCAAAATATTACTAATACGAAGGATTACACTCAAATCCTTTTAACACAGAGAGCATGGATGACTAATAATCCAAGTTTTCATATTTGGAACACTCTGGTAACAATGGCAGCTGCAAGCAACCCCACCCTCAAGCAACCCACCTGCTGCTCTTTGGCACTTTGCCCAATAATTAATTTTGAACTCCACACACTTTCAAGATAGCACTCATTTTCTCCTGTTCTTATAAGGACATTATATTTTCTGATGGCTCTGCACATCTCAAAATTAATGTCATTTTGCTTCCTTAGAAGAGATTTTTCTTCCAGAGCATGTAACAGCAGAACACACTTTCATCAGTAAGGACATTCACACACAAGAAAGGTCAACTTACATCACATGAGTTTTCAATAAGCCTCTGGTCCTGAGATTCCACTTCAGTCTCAACACCAACATCTTCACTCTCTTCACTTTTAACTGGTTCTACCATGGATGCAGTGGACACACTGAAAATGCCGTGAGTATTGACACGGACTTTCACTTTGACTTTAGACTTCTCTCCATCTTTCTGGGCTGCCACATTCTGGATAACATACCTACCTAAAACCAAAGGAATCAATACTCACACAGTGGAATTAAAGAGGTAATATTACAGGGCCAGGAAAACACCTTTCACAGAGGATGCATTTTCTAAATATTTGACGAAGCCTCTGTGCTAATCTCATAGTCCCCAAAATGAAAATAATACTACAGAAAACAAAAGGTACTCTGCTTTTCAGCCAATTTTACCTCACAAATCAAAAGGGAGAATGTTTCTTTTTAAATAATAGGGTATGTTCTCCTGCCACTAGTAACATACAGCAAATACAAGAGGTAAAAGCTCACTGCCCCTTACTTGTGCTGTGATGCTATAGTGGGATGAAAGAAAACTACGCAAAGATTTAGTCTAAAGCCAATGTTATATGTTATGTCTTTTTAATACAAGTTACTGCCCAACATATAGACAGTATTTCTAGAAGTGTTCTTTTCAGCTTCTAACATCCATGTAAGACTGCCATGACCTTTTACTCTCGGGCAGAATGGAACAGTTTTGTAACTCCTGTAATACTTGACACAGACAGACAACTAATTTGACAGCATACGAAGAATCACATCTCCTTGACATTAAAAGCAGACGTATTTTTCCTGCCTAGTACATGGTTATACATGTATCACCAAAAAAGTGACCTGGAAATTACTATGCTTGTATAGCTGCAAAGTACAAGTTCACAGATTTCATCACAGGCTGAACATACGCATGCTCACACCCCCCACCCCCCCATTCCTTCATCAGTAGATCTAAACCACATGCATACAGGCTTTTACCTGCTTACTTTACAGGCTGTAATCCCCCCTTCTCCTGTAAATCCTATAATCCTAGAATTGTGACTTGTCCTCCCTTTAGGTAGTCTCATCATATCTACTGCCTCACCCATTAGGACTGCTGACAATTCTGTTCTGAGCAAAGAGTTAATTGGCGAGTGAGCTGAAACCAGTCCACTTTTTGGTTCTGTTCTCACCAGTTTGCAGAACAACAGTTAAATATCATCTTGTTTCTTAATGCCATATAAATTGCACACTCACAAATCCCACTACCAGTCTTTTTGGCAAGAGTTAACATGCAAGGAAGCCTGCTGTTTCTGTAACTACAAAATATTGTGCTGGTTTTTAAGACATGGTATTTGAACTTTGTGACTGTCAGTGAAACAATCGTGTAATTTGCTTTGAAGCAGAGAAAATAACTGATGTTTTCTGTTAGGATAATAGTTTTCAGTAACTTTGTAGTGCATTAGGTATTTGCCGAAATATTGGCAAATCAGCTGGAGATGTTTTTGCCCTATATATTCTCCCACCCATTTTAAGAATATTTATAAAGCTTATCTTTAACACTACAGTTCTGGTGATACTTTTTTAAGTGCACTGTTAACCAACAGGACAGCTGTATTATTGAATACTTAAGCTAAGATTTGTCATTTATTCTACCACTGAAAAACAAAAGTTGAGCTTTCTAACAAAACCAAGCAATTACTTGACAACTAGTAACAGCTTTATCTTAATTTTACATGCAAACACACAACATTTAATTGCACGCTTAGTACTCAAGAGCAATTATTTAATTGGCCTGACTTAACCATCACAATCTTTTTCTAACTAGCCATACTGTAAACTCTTTGTAAGGGTCAGCACTGTCAATGTGGTAATTTGTCAAAAAGAATGAAAGAGCTGTTTATAAATGTTACCTAGACAATTCAAATCAATACCGTAGTCTTGTAGCTGCCACTATTTCAGGCTGCCTTGATTAAAACTTATTCAATATTATGACAAACCCAGAAAGTACAGGGAAAAGCAGCAACTAGTTACTCACAATGTGTTTAAGTTTTTTATATGCAGGAGATATTTTTCAAGTATTCCTAGCTTGTTTTAGCAAAAAGCAGAAAAGAATATTAAAAAAGTTTAGAAGTTATCTTTCACACTGATAGCCCCATTCTAGTCCTGGGCATTTGGCTATAGTTTTCCCTCACTTCTTCAATGGACTGAAGCAACTTCAGAAGCTAGAAAAATGAAAAAAAAAAAAAAAAATCCAAGTTCAGTTACCTATGGCAAGGGAGAACTGGAAATTGAGTCCTCCAGACACAAAAAACTAAATATATGTCATACAACCATACTGTAACACACCACAGTTACAGAAATGATTTAAGACCAAACAATGTGAGACAACACCATTTCCAGGACAATTACTTACCAATTTTTGACTCAGGATATGGGACTCCGTTAGGATCAGAATAAAAAGCTTCTAACTCAAATGGACCTTTCCTATAGAATGTAAGAACCTTGGAGAAAGGTGCTGCATGATTTCTGCTGAACACCTCATGAACCCTATAATTAAGAGAAAAATACCACTTTTAGCAGAGTATGTGAACTGAAGGCTTTGATCTAGGGTCAGAATTCTTTAGAGAAACGTCACCGTGTTTTGACACATTAACCCTTCTGAACAATTCCAAGAAAAGATATTTTACCACTGTACTATAATAAAAAAAAAATTACTGTTGTGTACTGTAATGGGAAATTGTCCTATTCCACAATTTTGAGTCTCAGAAGCAAGTAAGTTTAGAAGTAGGTGGCAATTCAGTGACAGACTATCAGCAGACCTCCAAAATTTGTTTCCTGCAAAGACATTATTCTGAGCTTGGAATAGCATAATTTAAATCATAATTTGCACCCTTCCTCAGTTAGTCTCAAAAGGCTAATTATAGCCCTGTTAATTCCTTACTCATTTACTTTCTGTGGCTTAGTTGAGAACCCTGACACCAGATTATTATTCATTCCTTGATGTGACAAAGACAACCAGCTTTATTTTAGGTTCTTCCTCTAAGGTCTGTCCGCCATTGCCAGTCTGATTCTAATTTGCAGCTAAGTTTTTTCTCCTAACTATGGAAGAATCTCATCTAATAACCTAAATGTGAGAAAATAAAGAGCTTCACCTAGAATGTGAACCCACAGGTTGCTCTCAGAAGCATGTGACAGAACAATTAGGTCCTGCATCTCCACAGAAGACAGACAAAAAAGGCCAAATTACAAAGAATATAAGAAATGTATGAACAGGTCCCTATAGAACTCTAAACTTCTCAAAAGTCAAACTGAGACCTCTCTACATCCTAGACAGCAACTGCATTTCCCACAAGCATGGCACAGTTAATAGCAGGGAGGTCAGAGTCTTAAGACACTGCAATTACAGTAAATTCCTCTTACAAAAGTTGAGTTAAATCCTTGGTTCTGTTTTCAGCCAGACAAATAGCATCCATTACATAGTGTCTAACATTCTTACTAAAACAAGAATCCAGATAGGTGTTAGGAACACCTTGAGTAATAAAGCCAGAAAGGAAGTGTGATCAGGATCTAGCAGTTGTTCTAGTTCATTTTGTATTCCAAAACCCGACAACCAGATAAGAGCAATGCATGACAAGATAGTGGTTGGTAGCTCATTCCATCACAATTTTTTTAATCTTCATTTTTTAACAGATGAGGACTTATGCTTAAATTTCAATGTATGCCTTTACAGTTTCCACTGTCAGCCATCTCTGGCACACAGCCTATGCATTTTTTGCATCAGAATCCAAGATCCTAGTTTAAATGCAACCAAGAACAGTATGCTTGAATTATGAAGGCCAAAAGTTTCATAGACTGTAATTTGAGCTACCTACCCTTCAGTGTCCTCTGCTTCTGTGTTCCACAACAGAGATATTGGGAATGGTGTAGCATCTGTCACAGAGAATTCTCTCACTTTAAAAGCTGGAGAAAGAATTGCACACTAAAAAAAAAAAAAAAACCAGACATGCATTAAAGTTGGTTAACCACTCTGCTCCACCCACCCAAGACCGCTAAACATCTTTAAACAAGAAAAAGAGACCTTGGTTGACTTTATTAGAACAGAGATAGGCAAATTGCTTGATTTCAATGGAGTATGATAAGAAAACAGAAATATCATACAGAAGAGGTTTCTACCCTTTGGGCTAGGGGGACTGGGGGACTCTTAGCCTGATTCCTACAACAGCTTGTGAAAAAAGGTAACAGTGTAAACGAATACCAGGACTGTAAAGAATGGAAGTACTGCATTACTTAGTCCTAGAAAAAATGGTGTTTATCTTACACGTCCTGCTTCTTTCCCTGGAGACAACTGATTGCTAGTGATGGAAAACAGTGAGATGGAATAAAGAAACAAGTCAGAGAGAGTGAAATAAGAGAACAAGTAAAGGAGAAAAGGATGATGGCAGACAGAGCGGTGTGCTTGTAAATATAGTTCACTAGTTGGAAACTGTAAAAATGGGGGGGGGGGAGACAGAATAAAAGTTTGATTCACATTGATGGGAAGCTGGATATACCAGAAAATGCAAACCTGCAATGTTTTCGGCTCTCCATAGATACTTCTCACACACTTTGTTGATACATATCTCTTCCCTCAGCTTGACAGCAACATAAATTTTTCTCATTAAAGATCCCTATATCCCTTTCTTTTAAAGAGAAGAGTGGACTGCTTACAGAATATATCCAGCATCAGCACTTTCAGTAAAGTACTGCACTGCAGAGTACTCTGGACTTTTTAAACAGCACAGTCCCATAAAAACACCAGTGAATGTGTATGTTTTCTTGCGTGCTTTAAAATAGAGCACTTCTGCCATTTCTCAAAACTGCTTGGCTAATAAAGTGCTCTCAAGGAATGTTTTAAGTTTATCTAGTGTTGCCAGTACTATACCTGCAAAGCACAGCCCCTAGCTATGGCTTCATCTGCGTTCAGTGTTGTACTGACATCTTTGCCAAAGAATTTAGCAATCCTCTCTTTGACAGCAGCAATGCGGGTTGCTCCTCCCACAATCTCTACAGCAGTTACATCTTCCACTTTCAGTTGTGTTTGTTCCATTAATGAAAGCAGAGGCATCTCTATCCTTTGCAGCAAGTCAGCACACAATTCTTCAAACTGTGACCTAAGGAAAGAAATGGAATTAACCAAAGAATGCCTGCCCCACCACTTAAAATTTCCTAGTATTCTTGTTTCCAAACTGATGCTGACCCCGCCTGGTAACTACACTACAAAGAGACTTAAACCTAAGGCCCTGCGAGTACGCTGAAGTAACAACCATAGACAAGGCAGTACACGAACAGCTGCTTACAGATTTTCCTATGCTGCTATCAACATAGCTAAATAAGATAAAAGCATTGTTTGGCCAGGTGCTATATATTTGCCTCTCAGCAGAGGTTACAGATAAGAATACAGAAAACACTGATACTTCCTTTACAATGAAAAACTGTTGCCCAAATACCGGAGGGAGGGGGGAAAAAAAAAAAACCACAAAAACCCCACCCACCACTCTTGGCAGTAGTTACAGGACTAACAGTGACTACAAATTAAGTTGTGCCTGTGAGCATGTGCAAGAGACAGACACACACAGACTTCGTTTACACTCAGGCCATAATCAAGTCATCTCCCATAAGCACTGTTTCTGCCCTCCATTTCTCTGCCAATATCCACAGTACAATAAGAACACCAAAAAAAAAGGAACAAAGCTTCAGTTGATGCTATCTTCAGAGCAGTACGGGATTTAGGTTACCTAAAATATGCAGGAGGCCTAAATATGCAGCCAACCCCCCTGGGTCTGGTTTGCATCCATCAATCCATGGTTTTAAGAACATGTCATTCTACAAAAAGAATCCAAGCTTCTTTTGCATGATTACACTGAAAGACTGCTCAGGTAGCTGAACATTACATTCCACAGCCTTAGTTATTCTAGCATTACAAAAATGCCACAGCTATTCAGCACTTGCACTTAATTTTAGCACAGTAAGTCTCTTTCAAACATGGAAAGGAACACTTGTTTAAGAAATACGGCCACCACAGCAACTGCCTGTCTTGTACAGAACTCACCTGTTCATTTTTCCAGATACATCAGTATCATTCATGAAACACTCAATATTTAGGGGAATGTCTGTGCTATTTGAACTCATTAGTTTCTTCAGCTTCTCACATTCCTGATACAGACGAAGTAGAGCTCGAACTTTTGCTTTTGGATCCAGTTTGTACTTTGCTTTTATTTCTGCACAAAAATAATCTACTAGCTTTCCATCAAAGTTTCTTCCACCTAGGAAAGGGTCAAATGCTGTACCAAGTACCTGGTTTGAAAGAACACAGTTATTTAGTCTTACACTCAGTAAAAATCAAATGAAGTAGCAGTCTTCCAATATGAGCAAGCCTTTGCTTCAAAAAGGTTGGGGACAAGTCAGCCTATCTTCCAATGCACAGGCTTAAGCACTTCAATCAACCGTATCAGCTTTTACAGTGGAAGTAAGTGTAAGTAACTAGGTGACAATCCTAAGCATTCACAGTTTTAATCCATACTCATCCATTTAGATAAAATAAACTAAATTATAGCAGTTGGTGTGCAGCAAGGAATTCACAGCCTCTATTTGAAACCATCTTAAGGAAATGAAGGACGCTGATAAAAATCTTCACCTTTTGACTTGCTGCCACTTCCCATGCAATTAAATTTTTTCAGAATTTTAAAAACAAAGCAGGTTTACAGCCTATTTGATTCAAATGTCTCATAAAGCCTTTTATTTTCTTTTAGTCTTACTACCTTTAGTTTACCCTTGTTGAATGCACAGGCTGATACTTGGAATGCAGAATGTCCCATATCAACAAACACAACTATCCGTGGCTTCTCTTCAGGAGCTGGAAGGTCCTGTTTATAAATTCCATAACTCAGAGCCACTGCAAAACAAGTGTCAGATATTATCCATGCATTCTCTAGTGAGTCTCCAACTGCATGCCATCACATCCCTGTGAACAGTAAGCTATAGGACCAAGAGCAGCAAGACAAATCCAGACATACACCTATGCAAGGTCTTACCTACATGGAAGCGTTATTCCATTAATACATGTTGTAAGATCTGAGAAGCAAAACATTCTTTCCTCAGTTACATATATGCTTTCTAAGTGTTTAAAAGCATGCAAAGCATGGAAGTATTTAAAATAAGAGTAGATGAGGTGCTTAGAGACATGGTTTAGTGGTGCGATGGCAGTGTTAGGTTAACGGTTGGACTTGATGATCTTAAAAGGTCTTTTCCAACCTAAACGATTCTATGATAACTAAGAAGCAACAACCCTGTTAGGGGGCTTTCTACTTTGATCTGTTTATTAACAACTCATGGTTTTGCTTTGCATAGTAACCCATAGTAATCAAAACCACAAAGCATCTTTACAACAAAACCCAAACCCAATTTTGTATTTACAAGGAGTATCTCCCAGGCATGAAGGTTTTGTCTGAGAACAGTATAAATGGTCAGCAGTGGCTGCAAAAAGGAAGAATCTCAGTATGACGGTATCAGGCAGGGACAGTTTGCATCAAAAGTGTAAAACAGAAGCCATCAGGGCATGTAAACACAGGATAATGAAGTCAAAGGACAGAATGCAGTTTTGCAGCAGCATTCATTCTGGATGGATAGCAGTGTCAAAGCTAGGCAGGAGGCTGATGCAGTAACTGAAGATAAATAAAACCCTAGAGAGTCTTGGCTACACGCTTACATAGGAAAGACTGATATTTTGGCATGAAATAGAACATGGGAGAATGTACATTTGCATGTGGTAAAAAAAAAATCACAACATGAAGATAACTAGACAGATTATCAGGCAAGAGAATTAGAGCACTAGAGAAGGTGGTAAGGAAGGCTGGGAATACGTGCTCTGGAATGTAATGTTTTAGTGAGACGTCCTCTCACTTGAGGAGAAAGGGACACCAATTCCCTCTCTCCCATCAAAAGCAGTAGTTCCAGGCCATCTGGAACAAGGACAGCCAAGTTTCACACTGGCCAGATACTTGAGATTTATGGATTCTGGTGTCTAATAAAGTTTCTGTGCAGTTGGTGCACTCATTTCTCATCTGTGTGGACTCTTTGGGGTCTATAAAAACCCAATACCAGTACCCATTAATCCCTCCCACAAGCAGTCATTAAAAACACAAACTTTATTTCACAAAATGTATCTGTTATATCCTTGAATCATAGAATCATAGAATCATAGAATGTTTTGGGTTGGAGGGGACCACTAGAGGTCATCGAGTCCAACCCCCCTGCAGTCAGCAGGGACACCGCCAACTAGATCAGGTTGCTCAGAGCCCCATCCAACCTGGCCTTGAATGTTTCCAGGGATGGGGCCTCCACTACCTCTCTGGGCAACCTGTTCCAGTGGTTTACCACCCTCATTGTAAAGAATTTTTTCCTTATATCTAGCCTAAACCTACCCCGATTTAGTTTAAAACCATTACCCCTTGTCCTAACGCAGCTGGCCCTACTAAAAAGGTTTTCCCCCTCTTTCCTATAGGCCCCCTTTAGGTACTGAAAGGCCGCAATCAGGTCTCCCCGCAGCCTTCTTTTCTCTAGACTGAACAAGCCCAACTCTCTCAGCCTGTCCTCATAGGAGAGGTGCTCCAGCCCTCGGATCATTTTAGTAGCCCCTTGAGATCTAGATCTGATTGAAATTATTTATTTCACAAAATGTATCTGTTATATCCTTGAGATCTAGATCTGATTGAAATTGTATATTGGTCTGCTCATTCACATAACATTTGTATTTCTAAGCAGACTGTATACATTGCCCTTGTTTCCAAGCTAAAAATAAATTTATGAACAAAACTTGATAAATCACAGTAGACTTTGCCTTTCTTCAAAACCAAAACAAATTATTGTTCTTTTCTGCCCTACTATACCTCAGGGCTCCTTCCTCAAGGATATAATAAAAGATCCTTTCATTTAAAATATGAGAAAAGCTTGGATAGTACTTATTAGCCTTGCAAGGTAAAGAAAAGAAATTTGGAAATGCTATGTGCTACACAGTAAAGAAGGCTGCTGGTGCTGCTAAGGGGATGAAAGCGCTATCTGCTTTTCTGGAGACTGTTCATTCCAATGGCAAAGCTTCTAAAGATCCTTGCTAAAAAGTCTTGAAAAGCTCTCAAGGTTCTTGCATGGCCAGAGACTGGGCTGATGTGTTCTGCCAAAGAAAAAGGAAGTAACAATGCCTTTTTTGGCAAGGCCTTTAGTTGGCTTATGTCACCCCATCATGAGAGGTCATCTCCGAATCAGGTGTGAAGGATTACTTCTGCTTCAATAGAGAAAGGGGTTGGAAAGGTACTCTTTTCTCACTGCTAAGGTTGGAAAACACTTCTTTTGAGTGCTAAATTAGCCCTTTTTTTTCTTCATGGATACAAAGTTTCTTCATAAACATTCTGAAAATGGAATTTGAAGGTTAAAGAGGGTTGGATCATCCCTCCTCCTCCTCTCTCCTGTCACCCTGGAGATGTACAAGCCCTGTAACTCAAAGAATCCAGGCACATGGGACAAAGTGTACCTACTGTGGGGTCCACTTACCCAGCTCAAGAACTCACACTACCACACATTCTCTGAGCACTCTTTGCTATAGAAACAAAGAAGCTAAAGCTAGATGACAGAAACAGATTTGCTCTTCACTAGGTGCAAACACATAGTGTTCAATGTGAAGATCATAATACTGATGCAACAACTATGTTTACTAGAAATCCAGTACATTACCATATAGATACTCATCTAAAACTGAATCTGGAAAAACATTTTAAGATACCACTCCATTAATGCGTATTTAAGATTGCTTTACTCCTTAAAAATAAAACATTAAATTCAAAAGCATGAATCCAGCTCACATGCACCAAAAATGCTCACATGGGACATTCTTGCAAAGTAAACTTTTCCTAACTTATCAAAGTAATGTGGACAGTGGGAACAGAAAAGTTATTGTCTTCTGGTACAGACCTCTACTTCCCAACCCCTTCCCCCAGGAAACAAGTGCTTGTTATTATGCCATTTTAAAACACAGAACAACTGCTCTCTCACCAAATGCAAAGAGAAAAATGCAGGAAGACAAGGTAAGAATGCGTGTTTTAGGAAAGACCAAATAAACTATTGGTTCTGACAAAGCCATTTTAGAGTTCAGAACAGATTAGCAAAGGAGATTAATTGCCTTTTTTGTGTGTGTTTTAAAAGCACAGTTATACTGACAACAGCCTTGGTGCTAAGTGTTGATGCTTGAAGAGTGAGCGCCTCAATCCCACAACTGTGCATCATAAGGTTCCTTCCATGAAATCTGGGCAGTGAACTAAATGGACAAGTAGTCCAGACATGTGTGGTGACTCCTAAATAAGTACTCAGGGAGGTAACTATCACTAAAGCTTGATCTCTTCTACTCCTTCACACAGAAGACAAAAATGAAAGACTAAATCAAGAGAAGAGCAGCAATTTTTAGAACTTTTATGTCTTGTGTCTGATTTTTCAAGTCAGCCGTGTTTCTTAGAGTAACTAAATGTACCCTCTATCACACCTTTCATTTGCAGAAACTGCTATTTTACCCTACTTACCTGCTGTCATGTCATTCATTAATCTAAGACAATTTAATCCAACAATCTGAGCTGCATCCAGAAGGGACCTCCTTTCAGCATCTGTGAAAAACGATGGAACCTGAAGAAAGCAGGTGAGAATGGGAAGTTATTTGCAGAAAAATGAGACGTCACTCTGTTTATTTGAAAGTATTAGTTTAAAAATTGTATCTATTCCTCCTCTTTTAGGAATACACTTGCTCACTCCATGTCTTTTAACATGCAACTACTGTATTGAATAGATACTTCAAATATTCTATACAGTCAAGCTGAGATGGAATTAAAGCGACTATCAGCTAGTTTACGTGAGCACACACTAGCAAGAAACAAATGAGTTATTTGTATACAAAAGCTAGGAACCTTAATTACTGGTGCAAAATGTGAAACTGGGTATTATGGAGGCAGAGACATGGAATAACCTTAATCAGAATTAGTACGCATATTCTTGTCCAAGAAAGTACCGCAATATTACAGATGTGAGAGATGCAAAGAAATAAGGGATAACCTATAAAGAGAATTTGTTTCAGCCAAAACTACTTTGGGCAAGAAGTGGTAAGATATTCTGAAGGAGTATGTTGTTGAAAATTTGCTACATATCTCTAGATGTTGTTGAAAATTTGCTACATATCTCTAGCATTGGCATTGGACAATGACTTCTAATGATGTAGCTTCTGTCCCTGAGGACATCAGAAGACAGTAACTGTCAGGTATCAACTGGAGAACAAACTCTTCTAATAATAACAGAACTAAATATTCCTAGATGCAACATGAGACAGACTTGTTCAAAGAGTCATTGAGAACAGAGGCAGATGTTATTTTATATTCAGGCTTTGCAATGGAATTGCAAGCTTTATCTGCAGTCTTTATCTGCGGTCATTTTCTGTGCAGCCATAAATCGAAAAAAAAATTAACATACGGAGAAGGTGAACATAAACAGGACAGAAACTAAGGTTTTTAACTGCCGGAGGGCAAACTTTGATAAACAAAGGTGTCTTTAATGAGTAATTAGCATGTTTAGTCATGGAAACAAATGGCAGCAGAAGGGTATATACCTGGATCCCAGAAGTGTTCTGGGTCCAAAAGTTCAGACAACTCCAAGAGACTGAGTTCATGAAGTGGGTCAGGTTCTGGAATATGGAAGTGGCCCTGGGATTTCTTTAAGTCAAAAGCTCTAAAGCTAGTTAGGATTAATCCCTTTGTAAGCGCTTATGCAGTGTTCTTTTTAACTCTACACGAATAGAAGCAAAATGCCCTCAATAGCTGAAGTTAAAAGACATGATGTTCCTGTGCACTACAATTACTTACAGAAATAACACAGTCTGTTACTGGCTTTTTCAGGTTACTCTCCGCAGTCTCCTTTAATTTAGTCAATAACATAGCTGAAATCTGTTCCACACTGAAGATATGCTCCTCATCCATGTACATGACCTGGATAGAAGAAATAGGAAAAATAATTCCATTATTTCAACTGGAGGAAAAATGACTTACATTTAATGTTTTTGATACACTGCTGCTAATACTCTCTCAATCATAAAATGCTTAATTATTTCATTATAGAACTTCACTTTACAATTTGATTTCCCAGTTGAGCATCTACAGAAGCAATTATTCCATTTTCACAGACTTAAAGCATCAAGAACCATATCAACTCCATAGAAGCAGGAAATGGCTAGGAAGTGATTCAAAAGTGACACAAGTCTAAAATGTGGCTAAAGCTAGACATGGTCACAGAGCATTATGCCAAAAAAGTAAAAAGAGCAATCAATTTTCAAACTGCTGCCAACTGCAAAAAAAGTCCAGAATTACTTGCTGATTTTCCCCTGACATTTTTATGTTTCTGCCCAAATGTGTGAAAAGTCTCTGAAAGGAAGAACTGTGGAACAACAGTTCACCTATGCACATAAAACAGTCAAAAGCTTAAGATGAAGCTCAGCAAAAATTTTATTTGTTGCTCCCTTACCAAGAAATTATTCTTGAACCACTGTTTTTCTGTGTAATAGAATAAATAGCAATCACGAAATGAAAGAACATGTTACAATTGATTCTTGAAAATACCGCTTGCTTTTTATTCACATCAGTCCAATCTGGGGAAAAATTAAGCATTTCAGTTTTAATAGAAAAATTGTTCTCTAAACATCCCAGTCTTAAACACACAGCCTTAAGATAGGGTCTTCATCAGCGAAGCAGCATCATCTGTTATGCCAGCAAGGCTTTATCATCAGTATTTTTATATACTTCTCTAAATGAATACAACTACACCTATTCTAAGAAAAGCGAATATTGTATCAGCAAAGTCCTTGAAATTTAAGGAAGAGGCAAACCTGCAATGTGATACAAACTGCTTTTGAACATGTGTTGCAAGTAATTTATAACAGGCAGTCCACTAAAGACAAACATGTTACTCATTTATAGCAATTATTCTAAAGAAGAGTTCCTACTACTTCATAAGGAATCTGTAACCACGTAATTAGACTGTTGCAATGCATTCCACACAAGAGTGGCAGAAAGGTTAATACTTTCAAGTAAAACCATATGACCTCGTAATTATCTTAGCAGTTTTTCTGACAGGATGTTCAGGCTGGATGTGCAGTTTGCTAACAGGGAAGCTCACATTTCAGCAATTACTCTCAAATGAACCTTAATTTGATAGTTAACGTCCACTATTTAAAGATGAAGCTGTCTACGCACACAAGAGCTCTTCTTTAAGAGAAAGGTTAAATAAAACCTTCAGGGTAATTAAATGAAACCCATATTTTCATGACAAGGTGCTGAAATGTAAACTTTTAGATTTAGCTATAGCCCCCAAGAAGAAACACTGCAAATTTACCTTTACTCCAACTCCACCATTCTTCATAGAAACCAAATCATAGCTCAACTTTTCTTTTTCCTTCTGAACAAAAGGATCATTAAATGCACGGCCATGGAATCTCTTGAAGTTAGATACTGTGTTGTGGGCATGAGTAATTTGCTGCAAAGAAGTACAGGATATTTAGAAATCCACTCTTAATCAATCTGCAGTGTTCATTGCTGCTCTGTATGCCCCTAAGCATGAAGTCAAGTTTTAAGACAACTGCTCACTCACTTGTCACATCTGTTTCTTTAACACCTATAATTACTATCTGGTACTTGATATCAGCTTATTACTACAGAAGATTATATGAGTCAGAGACATAGATACTGACAGACCATTATATATTAAGTATTGTAAGAATTACACAAGTATCTCTAAAACCTTGAAGCAATCAGGTGACCAATAACAGGATCTATAGTGCCTACTACTTTAGTCACTTAATTTAGAATTCAAACAAACATAGCAGCCAGCTTCACAAGTAGTTGCAATGCCTGTAAACTGGCACTCCAGTCCCAGCCACCTCACCACCAGCTGTTCACTTTAAACCCCATTAAGTGCAAACAACTGTTCCCTCACCACCAGCTGTTCACTTTAAACCCCATTACATTAAGTGCAAACAACTGTTTTCAAAGTTCCTAAGTTTCAAGCTGGTCAGTCTCCCCATACATTTCAAGACTTACTTTTCTCCCCAAGCTACTGTTAAACTACATCATTCCCCTGTTCACATGCACCTAGCAGTCACTCAAATTCTTGCACCAGACCAAAGAAGGGTACAGTGCATAGACACCAGCAAGAAACAGGAGACTCTTGGTAACAATGTCAGTTTAAAGTATAGGCTAAGTTGCAGTGCAAGCTCCCCACAGAAGCAACTGACCTAGAGAAGCATTCTGTATCAGGAATGCAATGCAGAACAGAAATTAGACTAAACCAGCCTAAAAGAGAAACTGCAAGTATCTCAGAGTAGAATGAATCCTATTCTATAGGGAAGAAACTACAGAAGTGTGTTCTCTCCAGAACAGATTTAGGCAGGCATCAATAGATAGCATAATAATAACTTCAAACAACGAGAATACTGAGAAAGATTTCTAGCACTCACTACCCTCAAAGGAAAGCATCAGTTTCTTATTGCACGCAAAATTTTCCATCACGGAATTGAAGATTTGAGCTACATCTTATATTGGAAAACTATGCAACTATGACAGTTCTCCAACAGAAAAGCTCCCTGACAAAGCAGCAGGCCATATCCATACTATTAAACAGTAACTTTCAGAAAGCTGTGTGTGTGGACAGGAAGAAGTCAGACCCAAATTCCTCACTGAGAATCATCCCTGGTTTATTCTAATCACCAGTGCTCAGCCATAGTTAGTAAGAGCACGAGTTAGTACAGGCCAAAAAACATGCTAGGAACTATTCCAGTACTTTAACAGAACAGAGTATTTAAGTTCCTGTGTTCGAGGTCGTTTCCCAGCACGGTTTCATTTATTTGTATAGCCATAACTTCAGAGTACTCAAATGCTACGTAATTGACAGCTGTATTGCTGAAGAACGTAGATGCAAAAATAATTGCCATGCAGTGGGCAGAGAAGCACAAACATTGTGGTAGCTTTTATAGCCTAATTTAGAACTAAGCTCAGAAACTTTTCTAAGAGAACAATCTCAAGATATTTTTAGAGTAATTGTACGCTATTAGGTCTGTAGCATGTTTTAATATCTTCCTGCTTAGTCACAATTAAGAAAGCTGAGAATTATGGGCTGTTAACTAACATAGTGCTCATCTCCAACGCTACCACGCTTACCTAAAGGAAACAGAAATTCTCTGAAAATTCACTCCAACAGCAGCTCCTCAAGTCTTAAAGTAAGAGAACACCTCTGAGTATCATGAGCTCTCTTGCACATAATCACATGTTGAAGTCACTGGTCAAAAAAATACAGTTTTTTTTTCCTTTTGTTTTGTGAGGGGTTTTATCTGGGATTTTTGGTGGGGTTTTGTGGGGTTTGTTGTTTAGCTACTATGCCCTAGGACAGTGAAAACATAACTCTCAGTTGTCGGCACCAAGAAACTTCTACATGTACCAAAGAAACACGATTTACATCTCAGGTGGTCAGCCAACTTGGACCACTTACAGAAAGAGAAATGATAAAAATATTTCAGAGCATTTAAGTATCGCATTCTTTTCTTCTGGCAAAAATACTTAGTTTCAGACTAATATAAGACTCAATATAGTAACATCTTATAAAGGTGAGTCTGAAGGCAACTGAAGTCACAGGTGTTCACCACTGCACATACATGCTTTTAAATGCAATCTGAGAGACAGAATCTACTTCACTTTCAGCTTACTTCACATTTTCAACAGTATTTACTGGAATAGTCTAACAATACCGAAACACAGTCAAGAGTACATAGATTCAGATCGCTTGCTGTTTTGAGTAACAACTCATTTCTGCGCACTGATGAATCATACTAGTTTTCAACTTGAAAAAGTGGAAGCGGTCAAATAAACAAAAGCTATGATAAAATGAAATTTAAGGAAAAACCCATAAACATATGTATTTATTTTATTACTCCAAACGTTAACCTGTAACTGAAAGTGTATGTATGCTTGTGAACATGTAACCTATTAATATTTCCTTGGCTGTTCAAAATTAAGAAGGGAGCTATTACAGTAGAGGGGAAAACAAAAAGTCTCCTTTAATGCCCTTTCTGTGGAAACCCACTGCAGTCCTTTTACTACAGGAGATCTGCACAGGCCAGCGGAGGCTGCACGCTCAGTCTCCACCAGCGGCAGTTATGTAGCAACCTACAATACAATACCTGGGGATTTATTTAACCATTAAATTCAGTTATTCTACTATTCTTCAGAATTAAACTCCCCTTTTTAAACTGAAAATACTATTTAAACGAAGAAAACATTCAATCTTCCAGAGCACCTCAATAAAAAAAAAAAACCAAAACAAAAAAGACTAAGGACTTACACCTTCAAAACCACAGGCATTTATCTTTCAGTGAAACCAAAGGCAGTAAGGTGCCTAAATAGCTTTAATAATCTGAGCCAAGAGTCTCCCTTTACATCTAATTTTAACAAACTATATACAGCATGAAAAATGTTTTCCTTCAAGTGCAAGGAAAACCCTACCTACATAGTCATTAGAAAAAGAAACCTGATGACCTTACGTTGTCAGAAAATGAACATGTTCAACTGGAAAACATTACCATTAATGAAAGAGAGAGCAGTAACATTCTAGCAAAACCATCCTGCATTTCTCTGAAGGAAGCACAGCAGCATAGTGCAACATTTCTAAAATAAAAGGCTTGACAAGGAAAACAAAGTTGCTTGGTTTTAACTACAGCAAGCCAACTCTCTTCGCCCACTGGTACTTGAACAGTTGTGCACTGTTATGCACAAATGCTAGGAAACGACCTACCTGGTTTTTAGCCGAGACGCCAATAGCTCTGTTTTTGGATCCAAATGAAACCACTGATCTGAAAAGAGCAACGGCTAATTAACTCAGTGCTGACAATAAACACGACTGAGGACTAGCACAGATGCATTTTCTACAACTACAAATGAAACACCGAAGTCTTTCTGCTGAAGTGCCATTCTTCCAGCTTGCGGTAAAACACTGCAATAAGACTCTTACCCATCTTAAAGTCTTGGCTAGAACCCAGGACTTTTCACAACGGTTCATCCAAACAGGTAAACACGATGCTCACAATTATGAGCCTGCATCCAGATGAAATCCTACCCATGCGTGCTTGGCTACTCATAACTTCACAACTAACTCCTGCTTTGAGCCCGAGGCTTTCTATACCTGGCCTCAGGCTAAAGCAGAGCTGCTCTGGGGCAGCTCTAAGAGTTCACCCCGCCGCGGAGGTGGTGGGGGGGTGGGGGTGTCCCCG